ACGTTGGCCTCGTGACGCCTTGATTTTCGTAATCGACAAAGAAATCAGTTTCTGAGCCTCTGCCATCGTTATATCCTTTCTTGTTGGTTTGCTGTATTGTTTAATGTTAGTTAGCTCCTCCACGGAGAGTTTGATCGTCTTTAATCCACAAAATATATTCAGAAAATGTCACAAAAAGCTTCTGTGGTCGGAGCAGATGCGTAATACTATCGTGACCGTTGTTTCTAATTTCCCAATATTCGAAGTGTAGTACGTCATTTCTAATTATAGCATCCAATCAGAAGAGCTCATTATTAATACATCATTTTGATTGGTTAGGAAATTGCGGGATAATTGAATATGAGCCAATCATTGGTAGCGTGCTGACGTCACGCGACCTTTAAACTGAACCAAGAAAACAAAGGTAACACCCGATAGATGTGTCGTGTCAACATCCATTCATCGCTTCCAGTAACCAATCAAATACGAGGAACTGAATCATAAACATACCTGATAAAGGGTCATCTCAGTGCAAATGCGTAATTTCGGGAATGTATACGTCTAGCATTGCTTGCGTGCCATTTCCATATATGGGGCAGCGCTCCATATAAAGAATCACATGCCTTTGGCCCGATTCGTTGTTTGGGTGAACCAGGTTTCATGAATTGATGAAGGCTGTACCACTACCAGGTCGTTCAATAAGTTCACGGAAAAATGCTCTCATTTCAAAAATTCTTTATAATTTCTCATAAAATTTTCACACAATGTATAAAAAATACTTTCTGATTGATTCTTAAAACATCGGCATCTCTAATTTGATTGGTCAAAAATAAGAGTTACTATGGTAACTTGACTTTTGGGTAGGCGGGGCACTTTTTACGTCACACAATTTACCATTACGGAAATCTATCAATATATGCAAAATGAAGGATCCTTATTTTTTATTTGTTCCTATTTAAATTACAAATGTTTTGAGGGAACATTTATATTTATGCTTTCATGAACATTTCTGAAATCCTGCCAATGCTGTACCAGTGGGCCAAAATATCAACAAAGAGTAATGCTATGAAAAATTGATTAAAACTTAACCATTCGGCCAAACTCTAAATTTTTCCATTGGGATAATGCAGCCGATCACATTGCTAATATTGTGCAGGAAACCATCACAAATAACTGGCAAAATAGAAGGCAAAGCTGCCCCAAGTTACATACTCTCCAGATGAGACAATACTTGATTTTGCAGTTTTCACTAAGATGAAGAATCAGCTAAGAGGTGCACTTTATGGAACAATTAAACAACTTTTGACTGCAGTCCAGATTACCCTTCAAACAAGTTTTCCACATGGCTTCAGAGCACTGTATCGTCAATGGGTATGCAAGTCAATGGGTTGAATGCAAGCAACTGTGCATACACATGAGGGAAAATATTTCTAAAACCTTATGGAACAATAGTTGTAACTATTACATTAAGTAATATCATGTACAAGTAGAAAGTGGAGAAAACATTTATGTGATATACTCAAAAATTGCTTACTTTTCTGTTGTTTTTCTAATGAATAATGTGACGTAAAAAGTGCCCCGCCTACCCAAAAAACAAGTTACCATAATAACCCTTATTTTTGACCAAGCAAATAAGAGATGCTGATATTTAAAGAATCAATCAGAAAGTATTTTTTATACAATGTGTGAAACTTTCATGAGGAAATATCAAAAATCTTTGAAATGAGAGCATTTTTCCGTGAACTTATTGAACGACCTGGTATGTGTACGAGAAATCCTGAGATTAGAAACAAGGTTTCAATTTAGCATGAGCCAGCTATAGTAAGTCTTGCAATCATCAAACCCTTGATTCCCATCTTTTCCTCCTCCACTCTTGAGATAACATAAATGGGAAGGGGTTGCACGATTGATGAGTGTACCACTGTACAGTTGTTAGTAGAGTAACACAAAAATTATATTGATAAATTCAAGAACCACAAAACAATAATTTTCATTATGCAAATGATTTAGTGTTGCCATCTTTATGTAAAGATAGTTTCTCACTATGAAGCATTTTATCAAGGAACTATAAATCGCTATGCCATTCATGTATAGGGTGGTCCAAAAAAGTGAACCTCTGCAACAGGCTATAATTTCCTTAAGAATTTTGAAGAAATTACAATACTTTAAACAAATATGCCTAAAATTAGATATTGTGCAAAATTTTACCAATGTGATTGACAGAAATTGTTGAAATACATTGGATGATCTTACAGCTTACAGTGAGAGATGTAAGTTTAAACCATACCATATGACAAATGGGACACTATTTGAACAGCAAACACATTTCACACTTCCATTGATCATTTTGAAGCAGTTTTAACCATTCAACAGCTAAGGGGCATGTTTCCTACACAAACGCTTAGAGGGGGGCAAAGTTACCCCATGTGACCCAAAATCAGAGAAGTCCTTCATATAAATATCCTACAAAAATCAAACAGAAATCTATTGAAATGTTAGAGCCATATTTCTTTAGAATTGGTCCATGCTTGATGAAGATATTGACATTTTAAAACCATATCGGGGTATGTTGCGATTTCACTGGAGGATGTTTTCATCTTTGGAAACATTAGGTTTTGCAGTCTGCAGCTAAAAAGATTTCCACAGGATTGACGAATTACTCAGATGCGAGTAGGTAGTTACCAGTTTCACCACCAGGTGGCTGATTCAAGGGAAATAACATGGCAGGGTATTACAAAATTCCTTTAAACTTGAATATTCATCAGTTTTAGTGGTTCACTTTTCATATTACCCTTATGTATATGATAGTTATACAAATTAAAATATGTCCAGTAAAAGAAATTATTATCTGCCCAACACAAGAAAAGATATTTCACTTTTTGTGGTTTTACAACATGGGCTCTATGGGGAATCTCCCCGACCTAAATGTCACATTTTCAAAGAAAATTAAATTTCAAAGTTGATAAACTCTTTTCAAAACAACATTTCTGGATGTAATTTTACATGTAGATTCCAAATATGACATCAGAATTGTGAATTTTTAAAGACGAAATTCAAGATTATTTCTACTCGCATCTAGGATATTGCAAATGTTGAAGTTCACATTTTATCGATTTTCAGTGATGTTTGGTTAGGGGTTATAATATCTGCAAATTTCAAGACTACGTAAATGTATGGTACCAACAAAAATTTTAGACCTTCCTCTACAACATGTGAAAATATGAAAGGATTCTTACAGGTATAATAAGGGAACAGTTCACTTTTTTGGACCACCCTGTATACCTTGCTAAAAAGCATCCTTGTGAATGTGAATTTCAAATTGTTCAAATAGGAAAAGAGAATATGGTTTACAAGACACTGTGATGTTTCATTTCATGATTCAATTTATTTGAAAAACTTCATTTCATAACAAATCAAAAATTTTATTTACACAAAATATAGTCACATTTTCAAATAATTCCATTAGTCCTATGGCTCCAAAATTTTACAGAAAGAAATGTGACAATCAATAATAGCTTATTTAAAATTCTAGTGGGGCAGGTAAAAAAATTGATTATCCAGAGGGACATATCTGAGGAAGATACATACATTTTCTGAGGATAAACTCTGTATCAAACCAACCATAACATATGTATCATATACCTCTCAGATTCTAAGTACAGAGTACCTTCTAAACTCTTCTTAACTTGTAATAATTATATAAATACATGCATATGTTTTTTCCCTATTTTTAAGTTTTTAGAATTTTGAATGATTAGAGGCCATTAAATGTGCTATGAACAATGGTAGGTATACCTTCTGACAGAAATGTGTATTACCCTCAGATACACATATTTCCCTCGGGATAAACCCTGTGTCCAAAACCTCCCTGTACATAATGCTTATGTACTTCAATCCCGAAGATGGTATTTATATATGAATATAATCACAGGGTCAACAAAATAAAGTTACAGTTAGTCACGTTGAAGTGTTGTAGTTAATTTCATATGGGGTGGAGCTCAAAGGGAAATTCATTATGTGACAGCAATGATTTTTGCAAGCCCATCATTTTGGCTTAAAATCAATATTTGAGAAAAGACCTCCACCTTCGATCCTTCATATTACATGGAATCTTGAGATTTTTGTGCAATGATTGCATTCCATCCATATGATCAATAGAGGACATCCTACAGTGGATGATTTATGCGAGATATGATTTTTATCCATAAATGAATATGATATCTGCACAAGTGAACATAGCATAGTGAGAGAATGTAATATCAATATCCAAAAATGGATTAAAATCATGAGTGAAATCATATAATGTTCTTATTATTCCATAGTTGAATGATCCTTGTCATGTAATGAATATCTAATTATAAAATGACTGATTGGCTATTGTTACTTTCAGCCTCATTTTGGGTCAAAAGTAGCAGAAATGGTTACAAAAATACTGTTTTTTTATTTTGACATGATATCCTTTATATCACAACTATGAAAGTATATAATGTTCTATTTATCACATAGTTCACCTATAAAACTAAACCAAGCATTTTGAAACATCCAACAATGGGAACATTTTTGATCCATCTTGATTGTTTTTTTTTATTTGACATAGAGTCTTGTTTATCTTGCTGTGTTCGCATTCGCCCGTTCTTCTCTGAACGTATTGATATTCTCACTGCAGTTTCTCTCTTTTCTTGACTGAACACTGATCATATGACTCGCAAAATCACAATATTATGGTACACTTGTCAGTGCAAATTCATAATTCAGTAGGCAACACAAGCCTATGTGATGTGTAAAATGTTCACAGTAATTTTTAACCACATTAATCATTCATAACCTCCTAGTCCTCCCTGTTGTACATATGTACTGTGTTAACAATCCTTTTCAAGGATACCATTTTTTCTTCAAAGGGGCCCCCTGTCAAGATTTCAATTTAGCCAAATTTCTCCCCTTTTCACAAAAGCTTATAGACATTGAACTGAAACATTAAAATTAATTCTTCATTTAATCAATGTTTTTAAGCTGAACAAAAATGAAGATGGAATATAATCTTGCAAAAATTTCTTGCCTTATTCATAGAGCTAAGGGGAGGCATCAAAAGTTCAATGTCTAATAGGAAACTAAATAAATCAAGTTAGGGGGCTATCTGGACAAATTTCAAACTTTTGAAATTTTGACTCGGAATACCTTGGAATGGTTTAAAAATAAAGATTTGACCTGATACTTTCTTCATCAAACTCAAAGCTAGATTTATTTAGTTTCCTATCGGACATTGAACTTTGGATACCTCTCCTAAGTCCACCACGTAGTGTATCACAAACAATTTTTGACAGTTTTATTTTTGACTGGAAGTATTGTTAGATGACACATTCCTGATTTACAATAAAAAATATGTAATCTCCAACATAAGCACCAAAGATAAAAAAAATTACATTTGAATTATACCAATAGATAATGGATTAGTATCCAATCTCCTCAGTTTTTCAAAAATGTTCTCCTCATTTAGAAAAAGAAGATCTTGTTTTTCTCATTTTAACCATATGAAAAGTTTCTCCTGCACTATGCCAGTAACTAATGAAAGGGGAATTGTATAGCAATGCAATAAGTTTGCGATACACTACATGGTCTTTTTCACAAACCATTTTTTAATTTTCAAAATCACAGCCATATTGCCTAGAAATATGTGCATTCTATACTCTCTATGTACAATGTATCCAGCTTTACTATTCACTGTAAAGATTATTGCTAGTCTGTATATACTATAGTTTGTTCATTGTCCGCCACAGAGATTGTTCCAGTTGACATAGATTCTGCAGCTGTTGCTATGACAGCAGGGTGTTTGTTGTGGCTGTCAGTGGCACTACTCTCACTGGCAATTTGGGTGGACACTGACACAGGAACAGACATACTCTGAAATAAGAAATTATCTTGAGCTGTGCTGTTTATACAAAAAGTCTATTAGGATTAGTATTCATGTAAAACTTCATACTTTTATATCAAGTAAAAATTATCACAATGACAAAGACAAACAATTTCATGTTCACTTCAAATATTATTAAAACATTAATGCTGGATAGTAGATATAGATTATACATTGTATTGAAAAGATGAATATCAATATGGAACAAAGATGTATATTTTATATCAATGAAACAATTTTTTGAAAAATTGTAATTGTTTTACAATATCTTTTCCTCTCATCACTCTATGTCATGCTTATTTCCCAAAAAGTCATAACCCTTCGATTTTATATTTAACTGAGGCAAAAATAAACAAGGCAATAACATGCAAAATGTCACTACCTGCCATTTGTTACAGATGTTGACAAATGCCAAACAAAAAACCACCGTACACCATCCACAAGAAAAGTTAAGGACTGTATTCTGGTGGTGACATAAAAATGAATGCCCCTTAAAATGATTGCTTTTAATATTTTACACACTATCCCCTCATCACCTCATTTGCCCAAATAATAACTCTAACAATGTGACGATTAACCAGGGAGAGGGAAGAACCATAGTATACCTGTAAGGCTTGTATTTGAGCAGGATCTGTGACAACAAATATCTGCTGGTCTCCACCCAGGTTGACCATTTGCTGCATGAGGGGCTGAAGCTGTGTGCTGTTGGCCTGGATCACCATGGTCTGAGACCCACCAGCTCCTGAGAGCACAGGATTGTTACCTACCATTTGGATCTATACAAAAAGTAAAATACAAATTCAAAATCAGTTAAAACAACATTTTTATTAAATTTTGTCTGAATCAGCAGATCTGATACAAGAGAACTACAACATATAGAAAAATACATCCAAAAAGTGTAAAAGTTAATCATTTTTATGTAGTGACTAAACTTTGGTCATAATATAGTGTGATGTTATTAGAATGAATTAAATCTATGATTCAGCTTTTGATGCATCCATAAATAAAGATGATAATTGGTGTGTACATCTAAGGACCATTGATTAATAATCAAGTTAAGTCTAAGACACGAAAAGAGAATGAGTCATCAGAAATGCATGTCTTACCTTCTGATTACAGTGTATTTATATAGTTTAGTTATTTTAAAGCAAATATCTTTCTGTTAATGCAATACATTTTGAATATGCATAATACACTCACTTGTTGAGCCCCTGACTCAGAGGTGTTGATGACAAGGTTACCATCTCCCTCCTCCCCTGGCCCTGTGCCTCCCTCTGAAGACCCCTGGAAATCCAGCTTCTGTTTTTTGGCTGCTGGGCCCTGGCTGCCATCATTTAGGCCTCCTATTGTAACTGGAAATACAAGTGATAAGAGATTGTTTTCAGTTTTAGCTCAGCTGTAGCGCAATAGGTCCCGGATTCTATCTCCGGTTCAAGCAGGACTTAATTTGCATGTTTGAGTAAAGTACTTCAGGGTGTTTGACTGAGTGGTCCACAGCTGTGTACTTGTATGACTATGTATGAGAGCACACATAAAAGAACACAAGACTCTTTCAAGGAGGGGTTCTTGGGTCTGTCTTCCATGATTATGATTTAATTACGACTGTATATGGAATATTACCTAAGAGGTCTTGCTCATCTTCATTGGTGGTAAACAAAGTACAATACAATACAATTAGCAAAGCCTTTTCAGAAACATGAAATCCTCTTAATACATGTACAAATGTAATGGTACATGATGTTTGTTATTTATAACAAGACATCTTCGCACGCTCGGTCTTCACTGCGTTCATCGGGAGCTGAGTGAACAAAGATGTAACAAGATGAATGCAACTCAAAATTGAAAAGTCCACTGAATAAACATAACACCACAAACCCTGAGAGTCAAAAACAGTTAGAAAAAATCCAAGTCCAATCAGATATACAGAAAACAAATCTGCAACATTCAGACATTATGATCGAGTAGTGTCAACAATTTTCTCCTTGACATTTACATCTTCCATTTAGGTATCAGGAACAAGGCCTAAAGCAAGGCATTTTAAACCATCCTCCTAAGAAGGTATTCAGAATCCGTACCTCCTTCTTCCCATTGCTATAACCAATTGGGAAGCGCCCGATTTAACTGAATCACGTGATCTAATTATGCGCAATGGCTTATACATGATTATAACCAATTTGGAAGCGCCCGATTTAACTGAATCACGTGATCTAATTATGCGCAATGGCTTATACATGATTTCTGTCTCAATGTTGCGACAGCCAATCAGATTGCGAGTTCTCAATCAGGGAAATGGTAACTGCTTATCACAGGGGGTAAAAAGAAAGAATATATTCTGGATTTTGACGGATTTTGAAGCCTTGTGATTGGAGGATGTAAGTAAGCTAGGCTATTAACAACTGGAGCAAATGATTTTTAACCTGAAAACGAGACTACAAGTAAATCTTTGGAATTTTCAAAAGTCTAAAATGGGACTACAAGTAAAAGTTGCTTCATTGCTGGGAAGATCACTAACAAGTTTTCAAACATTTCTAACATCAGTCTGTCTGGTCTATTAAGAAATATACTGTACGCCCGGTATTATTCGCGAGTTTTAATTTCGCGAATTTTGAGAAATACCAATTTTGCAGCCATTAAATTTCGCGGATTTCAAAGGTTTCAATTCCATTATTCTCTGAATCCTCAAGCTCTGTACACTAATTTACCTTATCTACAGTAATTACACCTACCCAATGTCATATTTGGAAAGGATTTAAAATTTCTAGATCTTAGTCAAAGGCATGTTGCACCTCAGCCTTTAATTGGCGAAATTCGCGACGATTAATTTTCGCGATTTTAATACAGTCGCGAAAAGCGCGATACTAAATCGCACGTGAAAAATACTGATTACTGGGTGTACAGTAACTAAGTCAAATGTCACAGAGTCAATTATTGATGTCCATGTAAGTGATTGAAAAAAACTTGCATCACATTTTATAGCTATTTTATGGGTGAGAAAGACCCAGGGCATAACAGCAAACATAAACTATGTAACATCTTGGTGGTCTTAGTTTTAGTGCAAATAGACAGCAAGGAGTGAAAGTAACAAGGAATTGGATAATAAAGTTATTTATTGCAGTGAGAAAAAAGATGAAATAAACAGATTGCTATTGGTGATATTTCATACATAAATATGGTTTTGCGAGATTATATTAAAACTAGAATACAGTTTTACTATTTTTTAATTATCATAACTGTATTATTATATGGATTTTGCATGTTTAATACCAAAGATGATAATTTATTCCATTTACATCCAATCAAGCTCAAAGCAAACATCTACAACAGGAGCTTCGCTACAGGTAACAGGGTACTCACTAGGCTAATTGACAGAGGAAAAAACACCTCACTCACTGTTTTGCCTGTCACATAGATACAGTAAAACTTGTGTAAGAACACTGCTCTAATTTGAATACCTCTCAATGATAATGATAACACTTTTTCAGTCCCATTTTTATCTGCCATTATGAGATAGCTACGTTGACAAAACCTTGAAATGTATATATATAACTTTTATTGACTCTTTAGATGTCATATCATGACATATTAGTCACTAAGGTAGAGCAGTTCTTCCCATTGTCGAGTTGAAGAACTGGTATCTTTATCCTGGCTAGAACCATAGACAATTCTAGCCAGCAGATGTCATATCATGACATATTAGTCACTAAGGTAGAGCAGTTCTTCCCATTGTCGAGTTGAAGAACTGGTATCTTTATCCTGGCTAGAACCATAGACAATTCTAGCCAGCGCCAGCCTTTTATCGAGTTAGCAGCACTCTAGGATACACCTGACAATAAGAACACTTTTGGCCACAGTAGCATTGATTTATACAGGTTTTACTGTATCTATACTAAGAATTTCGCAAAACAGAATTTCTCTAGATTACATCATGTGATTGCTACATCTCTTAAATATTCGGTGAACACCCTGAATAGACAATAATAATAGTCTCAAAATGTATGTAATATGCAAGCCTTTTTAGCCTATTTGCACACATATGAGATATATTGTATCTTTAAAAATATATTTGAAATTATATACAGGGTGTCCTAAAAAACAGAACCGAAACAGTCTGGAATAACTCTTGTGAGTGATGAAGAAATTTAGTCATCTGACAGAATATTTAATTATCATGTAGGGCATCTGAAAGTTTCATCAGGTACCTCGATTTAGTTTTGGAGAAAAGTTTTTCAGTATCATCTTTTATTTTCCATGTTTGGTGTTCCAAAACATACAATAATCTGCAATTGATTTACAAAACTTGAAAAGTTTTGTTTTAGCTCTATTACCCATTTTCCATGTTTGGAATTGCATGCAGCTCAATATCGATCTTGATAGAGGTCATTTTGAGCATTTCATTAAAATGTCAAATTTCTTAGTGAGTTATTTATAAATTTTTATGAATTTTTAACTGCTTATTTGAAAATGAATTCTCGTTATCATCTGAAAAGTTCACTTTTTGGATGAAGGAAAAAAGAGTTATTCTCATCTCATTTGGGTACAAGTTTGGGACACCCTGGATACTAAATATTATTTTTCTGGCTAACCATGAAAATGAACTTAGTCTTTAACCTGTTAATACTTGTGAGGGTTATCCATCAAAAATTGTAGTCCAAAAAAATCAGAATTCATCTCTCTACACAATCATCTGCACTTAGTACTTTCCGAAAAGGCCATAAAAGTTTCTTTTAAGGTCATTAGGAGCTATCAGTACAAAAAGAGAGAAATCAGAGGGTAGGCCTAGTATGGTACTGCAAGCCAATAGGTTAAATGGTATGGTAAAGTGTAAGCATGGTCATAATATGACATTGTAAAATCTGTTTACTATAGATCAGTGCAGTGAAGTTTTGGTTAAATCCAACCATTCCATAATGGACAAACTGACAGAAGGTGAATGGCGGCCCAAAGAAGTATCACAAGCATACAAAAAATCAGTATTTAAAACTCTAGCAAAATTAAGGCGCAGAAGCCATATAAAGCCGGAGACAGCAAAAAATGGACGTTGTGGTTATGTTCCGAATATTAAATTCACAAAACTATGTGATCCCGAAGGACCATACCCATGTTGTAAATACGCAAAATGTAGGAATGAATCCATTGAGGACTGCAAATGCCATAATTGCCTGGACGCAAGGACTAAACTCCATCCAGAGTTTTATAAATGGACACCATATAATATAACTCTTAACACATTTTCACCAGAGGACTTATGTGGGATACTGCACAGATTGCAGATATCTTTGGTGTATTCTCTGGGAGATTCACTAGGCCGTGGAATATGTGAAGGAGCATGGAAGATCATGGAGTCTGTACAAACATCTCCTGCTGACATAAGACGAAAAGAAGACTACAATAGTATGTATAATTTTAAAAGTATATAATCTAATAATATAATCTATGTGTGTAACGTAGGCAGCAATTTTAGACATAAGTGGGTTTTAAATGACTGATTATAGCTTAAAACAGAGCAAATAAAGTAATTATCATCATATGTCACTGGGGTGTAGAGACATAATTGAGGAAGTCCTACTCATTATCATGAACACTGCAGTGATTCATATCTATGAGTATTTCACAATGCTTTTCCAATAAACTACTTTTTGTGCAGTTGTGGCAGTACATGTATAATATATGTCCTTCTCTCGTGGACTTTCAAGAGAAAGCCAATGTTTCTCCTATATTACAAGGTTACAATTGGTACGTGCATGGGCTTTCCATGGTACGTGTAATTGGAATTTTGTCAAGCTTATTGCCTGGGCTTTTTGTCAAGTATGATCCAAAGAAACTACTTCCACCCTTTTTACTGTCATTTTGGATTCCAATATGTAAATACCAACATCATATTTTTATTAAAATTGGGAGATCAACAAGGAATGATGAAAATAGGCATGTAGTCCACGTAGTCAACTTTCCAATGTTCTACTCAGGATTTGTTCCTCTAGTTGGGGTAAAAATCACAATTTATGTGTCAAGGTTGGTCAAAATATGCCATTTTCCATAACTTAAGTTCCCATTTCCAAGAGGATGCATAGAGTTTCAGGAAGACCCATCTCAAATTCTTAAGCGAGAGCAGCACCCTCTTGCTGTGGAGATTCTTTTACGAGATGACAGAAAATGAAGCAGCTTACTAAAATTTTAGAGATAAATATGGAATATTTACAACTGTGAATAAATAATTTTCTCTCCTCACCAGGTACCAAGAATGACACCTGTGATCAAGATATCTTCAATTTGAAGGGACAATGTTTCTTTCGTACAAAAATGGCTGGATTTGAAGTATGCAACACAACTAATATTTACTGGTCAGGATTAGCAAAACCTGAAGGTATACCTTTGCTATTTTGCATTCTAGTAATTTCTCTGATAGATGAAATATAAATATAATATCCTACAATTTCTAGTAATTTCTCTGATAGATGAAATATTCTATGATTTAAGACTTGAAAAATCTAAATATGCAGCTGTTTTTTCCAACATAATACTTAACATATTTGACAAGAGAGATATCAAAATAACAACTACAGTAGAACCTGCTAAGTGGAACATCTCCGTAAGTGGAACACCTCACAAGTGGAACGCTTTTTCAAAGTCCCGTTTTAAAAACCCATTGACTTAATGTTAATTGAACCTCTGTAAGTGGAACACCTCCAAACTTGAACAGTGAACACCCCATATTGAAAAATTAACCTGCTAAGTGGAACAGTCAATTTTCCATAAATTTCAATAGTGATACTTATGTAAACAAAATTAACCTCCAACAGTGATACCTGGGTATGAAAACAGGTAATAACATGATAATTGGCAAATTAGGATTTTAATGGATTAGCATTAGCATATGGTCAATTGGATTAACCTCCTGTAGAGATCAACATGTGATGCTACCACTAATTAATTTGATAATTAGCAAATTAGAATTTCATAAGATTATCATTCAGCAAATTGGATTAAGAGATTGACATGTGATGCTCTTGCTGTTTGTTTCATACTTAATAAGTAAGCTTAAGAATGTCAGTTAAAAAACAAATGAATTATTAGCATTAGGAACAAGTCTTTAAAACTTAATTGCCTTATCTTAGTGTCTGAGACTGGCAGAATGAGGAGGATTGAGAATGTCAGAAAACATTTTTGGCAGAATGAGGAGGATTAAGAATGTCAGATACCTTTTTGAGTAAAACAAATGGATAATTAAGGCTTTATAGCTGCCCTGCAATGATCGGAGAATCTTATTTTCAGTGATAGATATCAACTCTATATTTAATCCTGTATGTTCGTTAAATCCCCGCAAACCCAAAACCTCCGTAAGTGGAACACCTCCTAAGTGGAACGCTTTTTGGCAGAACGGAGGGTGTTCCATTTACACAGGTTCTACTGTATATTGGTACCAAATCATTCAATACAAACACCCCCAAAAGTCTCATGTTAATTTATGGACTTCCTATTTCAGAAGGGATTCCAAAGGAAAAGGCCCACCTTTCTGAGATACTGAGCACATCGCATCCTGGAAATGTTGTGCTTGTTATGAACATAGGCCTCTTTGTGCAACTCAATGAAAGCAGGGCACAAGCCATCATAGAAACAATGCTTACGCATGTACAACAAACATATAAAGACAGAAAGTTCTACATTTTTTATTTCCCACCTTATGTCCCTGGATTGCTCAAATGGAAGAGATATGTGCGCCAACAGAAGCCTGAAAGTTTGAAGTTTACAAATACAATGAGGAATTATGTGATTGATAATAACATTAGGATGACATTTTTGAACCCTCAAAATTTGGCAGAAGATGCAGCTAGCTATGATGGGACACATTACACTCAGGGTCTATGTGAAACCATGTTTGAAATTATTATGAATTACCTGAACTACTCACAGTCAGAAGACATGTACTAAACATGGATTACAAGTTACCCAGCTTGCCCAAAAACAATAAGTTCTTAATTTTCTTACCAATGTACATTCCTAAACAAGATGTAGCATTATGCAACCATAACAGGCATTCTGAGACAGTACGAAATAGAATGGAACTATATGAAACAGTATGAAACAATATGAAATGATATGAAACAATATGAAAACATTATGAAACAATATAAAACATTATGAAACAATATGAAACATTTTGAAATATATGAAACAATATGAAACGATATGAAACATTTCGAATTATATGAAACAATAGGAAACATTATGAAATGATATGAAATATTATGAAACGATATGAAACATTATGAAACAATATGAAACATTTTGAAAGGATATGAAACACTATGAAACATTATGAAATGATATGAAACATTATGAAACGATATGAAACATTATGAAACGATATGAAACATTATGAAACATTATGAAACTATATGAAACAGTATGAAAGGATATGAAACACTATGAAACAGTATGAAACAATATGAAACAGTATGAAACACTATGAAAGAGTATGAAAGGATATGAAACACTATGAAACAATATGAAACATTATGAAACACTATGAAACGATATGAAACATTATGAAACGATATGAAACATTTTGAAATATATGAAAAGAGTTCGACGAGGTGAATCACAATTTGTATGAGCCGCAATTTGAAAAAAATATGTTTTTATATCTACCAGAACTTAAAAGTATGACTGTTGCAAATGTCTGAATGAATGGAGGTGGAGTGAAAAATATCTGAACTGTTTTATTTAATTATTGTGCTTCTAATGTTTGAATAGAGAATTTTAAAAAAATGAATGAAAGGATATGAAACATTTTGAAATATATGAAACAATATGAGACAATATAAAACGATATGAAACATTATGAAATGATATGAAACATTATGAACTTGACAACAGCAATGCCAAAGCGTAGCAAATCCCATCGAACAGCCATGGCTGGCATTTTTACAAACAAAGTATATAGCAAAAATGGCGGTCATTTTTCAAAATGGCTACCTTCTACCAAAAGTGTCATGAGACGGTGTGCCATGATTATAGTATTCACATACCAAATATGAACAAAATCGCTTCAGTACTTTTCGAGTTATAGTAAAATAGGTTAAAATGGGGGCCATTTTTCAAAATGGCCGCCTTCTACCAAAAGTGTCATAAGACAGTCTGCCATGCTTATAGTATTCATACCAAATATGAACAAAATCGCTCCACTACTTTTCAAGTTCTAGTAAAATACGTTAAAATGCTGGCCATTTTTCAAAATGGCCGCCTCCTACCAAAAGTGTCATTAGACAGTGTGCCATGCTTATAGTATTCACATACCAAATATGAATAAAATCGCTCCACTCTTTTCGAGTTAAGGCAAAAATCCTAAAATAACGAGGAAAGGCCGCAATTTTTCAAGATGGCTGCCATGTGCCTCTTTAATATCTACATTTCTAGCTTTACATTTAATACATATTGAAAATCGGCTTTCGAGCAGCACTTCTACTCCCATAGGGTATATATGTACAAAATATGAACAAAATCGGGCCAACGATATTTGAGTTATTGCCCGGACGGACGTAGGGACGGACGTAGGGACGGACGTAGGGACGGACGTAGGGACAGATGGACAAACGAGGGGTATTATCCCTCCGAACTTCCATTTTGAAAGATATGAAACATTATGAAACAATATGAAACATTATGAAACGATATGAAACAATATGAAACAGTATGAAACATTATGAAACTAGATAACGGCAACTCCGCGGAGTAGCAAATCCCAACGAACAAAATATCAATTACCGAATTCCAATCAATTATACTCATTACTTTGGTTTAAATTGAAAAATTTAGAATTGAAAATTTCTGTTTTCCTGACCCCCCATACATGGCCCCTGGGGGTGAGGATAAAAAACACGGAATATATGTGAAATAGATAGATGTTGCGAATATACTACCAAAATTTCAAACAATAATATTAATTACTTTGGTTTAGAATGAAAAATTTATGATTTTTGCAAAAAAGTTCCGTCATTTTTAAAGCGGCGGCCATCTTGAAATTTTTTTTTGCGTAAAACTATTCATCAATATACATCTTTCCACCAAATATGAAGAAAATCTGTCAACTAATATTTGAGTTATCTTCCGGACAGACGGACTGACTGACGGACTGACGGACTGACGGACGGATGGAGGGCTTCACTATATCCCTAACGAACAAAGTTCGTTGGGAGAACAATATGAAACAGTATGAAACATTATGAAACGATATGAAACACTATGAAACGATATGAAACATTATGAAACGATATGAAACACTATGAAACGATATGAAACATTATGAAACAATATGAAACATTATGAAACGATATGAAACAATATGAAACAGTATGAAACATTATGAAACAATATGAAACAGTATGAAACATTATGAAACGATATGAAACACTTTGAAACAATATGAAACATTATGAAACATTATGAATGAAAGGATATGAAACATTTTGAAATATGTGAAACATAACAATATATCTACCCAGGGGACCGAGGGTTGATATATTGTATTTACCGAGGGATATGCCCTGTATCAAAAATCGAGCATTTAATGACTGATTTATCCTATACTAAGTAGATTATGAGGATAAGAATGAGTAAAATGTTATTGAACTCTTGTTTAATAATTACAATAATGATAATTACAATCGAAACATGAATATTTTATCTCAAATTAAAGTTCTTAACATTTTTTAAAATTCAACACTTTTTAATATTTAGCAGTATATGAAATTAATATCAATTCAATAAGGCCATGGTTACACACGTACTGTGCTGATGAGCGAAAAAAGCACTGTATGAAATTTCCGGGAATTCACCTCAGCGGGAGATATATATCACCCGCTCACTTCAGATGTCAATTATATTCTCACATGTTATCAACCGATAAAACTACTAAGTATGAAACATTATGAAACGATATGAAACATTATGAAACAATATGAAACAGTATGAAACAATATGAAACATTATGAAACAATATGAAACATGAACTGATATGAAACATTATGAAACAATATGAAATATTATGAAACAATATGAAACATTATGAAACAATATGAAACAGTATGAAACAATATGAAATGATATGAAACAGTATGAAACAATATGAAACATTATGAAACATTATGAAACAATATGAAACATTATGAAACGATATGAAACAATATGAAACATTATGAAACGATATGAAACAATATGAAACAGTATGAAACAATATGAAACACTATGAAACGATATGAAACAATATGAAACATTTTGAAGTTCATAAAACGTTTATGAAGTGACAATTGCCGAAGAAAAACAGCTAGAGATTCTATTTTGAAATAAAGCATTTATTTTGAAAAAACTGTGCCAGTTAACTTCCTGCTCAAATAATGCATGATGGGTTATCTCAATAAATAAATATATTACTGTAAATATTCAGTGTTTTCAGTAGGTTTGTCAAAGATCGTGTTCCTTGGGCGTACTGATTTTCCAAAAATGTGATTCCCCTCAAAAAACTGTGTCCCTAGAAAAAATGATCCCGGGAATTCAGTCACGTTTTTACACTGGACGAAATGAAATTGATGAAATTTTGTATCTGAATCAGAGTTCTAGCGAGTCTAGTATGTCATTATGATACAGATACCATCACTTGTGAGGTATAACTTATATTCAACAATTAAACACACACTTTCTTTGCATATTTCGAAGCAATTTGCTATTGATTTTGATGGCTCAGAAATATCTTGCTTCGGTGCAATCTGCGGGAGGTTCCATTTTTTGGTTCAGTTTCTTGCGCATGCACATATTTAAATAATACTGATTACTGACTCGTACTGATTACTGCTCGGAAATCGAGTATTGGATAACTATTTATCCCATCACATGCCTCATACTATTTTGATCAGAAATCAACTTCCGGGAAAGAAACTTCGAAAGAAAATCTTATTTCTTTTAGAAATAGAATTTCCTTCAATTATTTAGTGGATTCTGACGAAATAAAGAGACTGAAGGTAAAATCTTTATCAAATCATTCATCCAAAGTTGATTTTGTGCACACGACTTGTCCAAGCAAAGCCAATCAAAATCAATTTTTAAGCAATGCTGTTAATTCTAACTTTCCGTATCATGTTAAAGTTGGATGTAACTGATACAAGTACATAATATAGTATAGTAGGAACAAGGGGTTCCCATGCACCCATAAGGTGTGAATAAGTTACATACATTTTTGTAATCCCTAGGGTGTCTATTTAATGAATTCATTTGTTAACATTGCCAACTAATGTCCCATAGTACTTTTATGGCGGCATTTAGTTACCATGGTTACGCATCTTTAGACATCTTACCTTGGTATCTTAAATCATTTGTAGGTCTGTCATTATTTGGTCTATAGAAATGATATTGGTACCAAATTAAACCTCGTTAAATTTCCAATAAATTTCTGATATTCAATTATCCAAATTATCTAATTTGCATAAATTATGACGTCATCAATCTATTTTTGGTTCAGAATTTCCAACTATAGCAACGTATCTATTAGAACTGAGGCCGTATGACAAAATTTCTGAAAGGTTTTGTCCTTTATTCTATTAGTAGAAGGTATAAGCAACATAAAAGTGAAAACAGATTCAAAATTGAATCAGTATTACGAAAGTTATGTAACTTTCGAGGCAGCTATCGTGAATGTCATTATTTGACAATAATATACATACATCTTACCTTGGAGTCTTGGATCAATGTAGCTTCGCCATTATTTGGTCTATAGAGATGATATTGGTATCTGATTAAACCTTATTAAATTTACTATATGGTTACAATATTCAGTTATGCAAATTAGCTAATTTGCATTAATTGTGACGTCATCAATCCATTTTTGGTTCAGAATATCCTAGTATAGCAACATATCTATTAGAACTGAGGCCGTATGACAGAATGTGTGCATAGTTTTGTCCCTTATTTGATGAGTGGAAGATATAAGCAACATTAAAGAGACAACAAATCTTCAAAATTGGATCAGAATTAACAAAATTATCCAGCTTTGGAGGCAGCTACTGTGAACGTCATTGTTTGACAATTATAAAAAGAATATTAAATTAACAAAAAAAGTAACAACCATAGTTGTTTCAATCTTATTGAGTAAAAATGTGCATGTATTGAACTGAACTAATACGTATGTGGAAAGGTTACATGTATTTTCACTATCATTCACAGGGGTCAAAACGGTTATCTCGACCCTGTATATTAAAGATCCAATTTTATAATTTACCATGCACTTTCAATGATTCATATAAATAGTATACATATAGTCTGATTTTCATCATATTCTTGATTCTTAAAGTATCTGATGTATAAAGCATGATTAGAAGTGAAGATGATTCATCATATGGCTTATGTAATATTTCTAACATTTCAGATGCTATGGTAATATCACTTGATAATGAGGTTTTTACATTTCACGTTCTTAATGAGTTAAAAGAAAGTTATTCTCCCTTTGCTTTAGAGATAAATAGTCGCATGAATTTGTTTAAAAAAATTATAACTTAATTTAACCCCCTCCTGACAGCCCCCATATTTGAAGATTTTGGTGAAACCTGGCAAAATACATTAATTATTAGGTTCCAGAAGCCCCCAGAAGCTATATGATGGCCCCCAGTGGCCCCAAGAATCTATACAGGGGCCCCAAGTGGCCCCCAGAAGGTATATGATGGCCCCCATAAGCTATACAAGGGCCCACAGAAACTATACTGTGGTCTCCAGAAGCTATATGGTGGCCCCCAGTGGCCCTCAGAAGCTAAATGATGACCCCCAGAAGCTAATTAGTGGCCCCCAGGAGCTATATGATGGCACCCAGAAGCTATACAGGGAACCCCAGTGGCCCCAAGAAGCTATACGATGGCCTCCAGAAGCTATACAGCAGCCCCCAGAAGCTACACGATGGCCCCCAGAATCTATATGATGGCCCCTAATGGCTCCTAGAAGCTAGACAGGGCCCCCAGTAGCCCCTAGAAGCAATACGGTGGCCCCCAAAGCTATATGGTGGCCCATTGGGGGACACTGTATAGCTTCTGGAGGCCATCGTATAGCTTATGGGGGCTACCGTATAGTTTCTACGGGCCCTTGCATAGCTTCTGGGGGCCATCTTATAGCTTCTCGGAGCCACTGGGGGCCCCTGTATAGCTTCTGGGGGCTACAGTACAGTTTCTGCAGGCCCTTGCATAGCTTCTGGGGGCCATCGTATAGCTTCTAGGAGCCACTGCGGGCCCCTGTATAGCTTCTGGGGGCCACTATATAGCTTTCGGGGCCACTGAGGGCCACCGTATAGCTTCTAGGGGCTACTGGGGGGCCCTTTATAGCTTCTGAGAGCCATTGGGGGCCACCATATAGATTCTGGGGGCAATTGTGTAGCTTCTGGGAACCACCATGTAGCTCCTGAGGGTCACTATTTAGCTTCTGGGGGCCATCATATAGCCTATGAGGGCCACTGGGGGCCACCGTATAGCTTCTAGGGGCTACTGGGGGCCCTTCACATCTTCTGGGAGCCATTGGGGTCCATCATATAGATTCTTGGGGCCATCATGTAGCTTTTTGGGGCTCCTGTATAGCTTCTGGGGGCCATCGTTTAGCTTCTTGGGGCCACTGGGGTCCCCTGTATAGCTTCTGGGAGCCACCGTATAGCTCCTAGGGGCCACTAATTAGCTTCTGGAGGCCATCATATAGCTTCCGAGGGCCACTGGGGGCCACCATATAGCTTCTGGGAGCCATAGTATAGTTTCTGGGGGCTCTTGTTTAGCTTCTGGGGCCCCCATGTAGTTTCTGGGGGCCACCGTATAGCTTTTTGGGGCCACTGGGGGCCCCTGTATAGCTTCTGGGCGCCACCGTATAGCTCCTGGGGTTAAATTAAGTTATAATTTTTCTAAACAAATCCATGCGACTATTTATCTCTAAAGCAAAGGGAGAATAACTTTCTTTTAACTCATTAAGAACGTGAAATGTAAAAACCTCATTATCAAGTGATATTACCATAGCATCTGAAATGTTAGAAATATTACATAAGCCATATGATGAATCATCTTCACTTCTAATCATGCTTTATACTTCAGATACTTTAAGAATCAAGAATATGAAGAATATGATGAAAATCAGACTATATGTATACTATTTATATGAATCATTGAAAGTGCATGGTAAATTATAAAATTGGATCTTTAATATACAGGGTCGAGATAACCGTTTTGACCCCTGTGAATGATAGTCAAAATACATGTAACCTTTCCACATACTTATTAGTTCAGTTCAATACATGCACATTTTTACTCAATAAGATTGAAACAACTATGGTTGTTACTTTTTTTGTTAATTTAATATTCTTTTTATAATTGTCAAACAATGACGTTCACAGTAGCTGCCTCCAAAGCTGGATAATTTTGTTAATTCTGATCCAATTTTGAAGATTTGTTGTCTCTTTAATGTTGCTTATATCTTCCACTCATCAAATAAGGGACAAAACTATGCACACATTCTGTCATACGGCCTCAGTTCTAATAGATATGTTGCTATACTAGGATATTCTGAACCAAAAATGGATTGATGACGTCACAATTAATGCAAATTAGCTAATTTGCATAACTGAATATTGTAACCATATAGTAAATTTAATAAGGTTTAATCAGATACCAATATCATCTCTATAGACCAAATAATGGCGAAGCTACATTGATTCAAGACTCCAAGGTAAGATGTATGTATATTATTGTCAAATAATGACATTCACGATAGCTGCCTCGAAAGTTACATAACTTTCGTAATACTGATTCAATTTTGAATCTGTTTTCACTTTTATGTTGCTTATACCTTCTACTAATAGAATAAAGGACAAAACCTTTCAGAAATTTTGTCATACGGCCTCAGTTCTAATAGATACGTTGCTATAGTTGGAAATTCTGAACCAAAAATAGATTGATGACGTCATAATTTATGCAAATTAGATAATTTGCATAATTGAATATCAGAAATTTATTGGAAATTTAACGAGGTTTAATTTGGTACCAATATCATTTCTATAGACCAAATAATGACAGAGCTACAAATGATTTAAGATACCAAGGTAAGATGTCTAAAGATGCGTAACCATGGTAACTAAATGCCGCCATAAAAGTACTATGGGACATTAGTTGGCAATGTTAACAAATGAATTCATTAAATAGACACCCTAGGGATTACAAAAATGTATGTAACTTATTCACACCTTATGGGTGCATGGGAACCCCTTGTTCCTACTATACTAATAGTTGCTAGCAAGTTTGAATCTGGCATTTTAAACAAATTGTTGAAACTTACTCTGGTGATTAGTGGGTGGATATATCTGAACTCCTGTTGCTTCTTCAACACCCGTGTCATCATTATGTGCAGTGCGCTTATGCATAGCTAATGTTGATGTCTGGCGGTAGTTTTTACCTGAAAATGACCACATTAAATTCAGGCTCGTAATCAGGCATAATCGAGGATATGCAGTGTTCCCTAAATGATGGAGCAAAAAATAAAATGTTGTAAAAAATAAAAAAAAGTAAAGCAAAATATTTTGTTTCATGATCTTTCCTGGACTACTTCTCTTCAAGACTCCAAACAAGTAACATTTTTCCATTCTGACTACATTACAGTCTGACATCGCTCAGAACACAACATTAAGGTCTAAAATCAAAAATATTCTGGGGGACATGCCCCTGAACACCCCTGGTTTTGCTTGGTCTTGCGTACCTTCTATCAAAACCCTGGCTATCATGAAAATTTATGAAATAATTAATGTTGGTCTAGGTAATAATACAAGTATTTTAGCTGACTTGGAAATGATTACTTTGTAAGACTCCATTGATATGCTGGTACCACATTTGTCAAAATGAAGTATTAATTATTAGATTTTGGAATACTATACTCACCACAATGGTTGCAAATGTAAGGTTTCGTGTGGGTGTGTACAACATGGTGTTTATAGAGGCTGGAATATTCTGTAAATCTCTTGCCACATCCCTGCACAGTGCATACATAAGGCTTTTCTCCTAAAAATGTCATGATTCAAATTGAAAAAATACATCAATAGCACTAGCAAAAATACAAGCAAACAATATGAAGTCATAAAATCATCAAGTTGTACTACAAATGTACTAGAAACACATCATCAGTTTGAAACCTGCACAAAATGTTCCTAAGTGATACTATTTTTCAAATATAATCCCCCAACGTACCTAACAACCATTATAATAAATATGGACAGGACACATATTAAGCTTATGTGATATAATTAAATTCATTATCAAATTTTCACTTTCAAGAAAGGTTATGCTATTCCAACATTTTTGGGAACTAGATAGAGTAAAGATAGAGATCTACGGGATCTTTGGAATGTGGCAGATATATAATTTAAGAGAGAATCATTTCTACATGTATTCCAAGTAACTTTCGGTGAAATATTTCACATGTGGGAACAACCATTTTTTGTATCAGTCTTGGCTGACTCTCTTAGAAGTTGAAGCTAGAATCTTGAAGTTTGTAAGACTGAACAGTGATCTCCCCAGCATTAAAGCAAGTGGGCACAGCACCTCCCTGAGATTTTAAAACAGGCTTGCACCCACCTGAAAATCCATTTGCACCAACTTAAGCACCCACTTAAAAATGAGAAAAATCATGAAAAATAGGCATATTTTGACCAATTTTGGTCTGAATTGTGAAAATGGGCATTATGCACACACTTGAGAAACAGTACTGTGGAGAACACTGCTGAATGAACACAAACCTGTATGTATTCGGACATGATTTTTATAGTTAGTGGCACTTGCAAATGCCCGACCACAGCCTTCCTCCTCACATATATATGGACGCTCTCCAGTATGTGTCCTTATATGGACTTTGCGAATGTTGGACGTAGTGAAAGCTCTATGGCAACCCTCAAATGGACATTTGAATGGCCGTTCGCCTGAAAAACAGCACATGATTCATATTGTGAGTGAATTTCAGAATCAAGGGATCTAAAATAGTGTCCTTAAAAATACCAATTAAATGATTAATAAGTCTTCGCTATGGAACAAGACCCACAGTGATAAATATGGCATTTGTAGCCTTGTAAATGACCACCCATGTCAAACCTCATATCTTGGTATAAGTGAAATTCGAACATGACTGTATTCACGCCTTCTATAAACTGTAATCAAAGTCAATGCTTCAGCTGGGTTATATTCGAGATTAATAACCCAGTTAATACATGTAATGTGTGACGTCATAACGGTGGGTCGTAGTAATGGCGGACCATGATGAATATTCGAAACTATTTGGTGAGTTTTCATGTTCGAATTGTAATATAGACCTCAGAGCAGGGTTACTAGTTTCGAATAACACGCCGCTGGTCTCGGCACAAAAGCTTTCGAACCCCTCACTCCCTTCGGTCGTTCGGGGTACAGAAAACGTTTGTGCCGAGACCAGCTGGGTGTTATTCGAAACTAGAAACCCTGCTCTTTGGTCTATATTTCTTAATTTTATAACTGTAAAAATACCAAATGAAGGGATGATTGATTTCCTTGATTTCTTGATGAGAAGATTTCTTGTGCCACGCACACACATTAGCACTAAAGACCACAATAACAAAACACTTTCCAGGTGCAATAAAAACTCACCAGTATGGGTGCGTACATGCTTTTGCATATCACCCGATGTTTTGAAGCATTTATTGCAGTGTTCATCTGGGCACTTGTAGGGCTTTTCTCCAGTATGTATCCTAGTGTGACTCTTTAGACCATAGCCTGTTGCAAATGTCTTCCCACACTGGCACTTGAAGGGCTTCTGTCCAGTATGGTTTCTCTCATGAACCTGCATTGTGATGTCAAAATACAAATATGACAAAAACAAGTAAAATATTGAGGGCAATCAAAATCGATTTTTGACCCGAAATCCAAAGAATGTATATTCCTATCCTGTGGAATCATTCAAGCTGAATTTTTGAAGTGATTATTTTGGATTTGATTTGTCAACAATTTCAAAAAAAGATTTCTTCCCATATGAATATACAATATATGTTCTTGAAATTCTGTGAAAAATCAATATATTCTGCACAAATTTAAACTTAGTACAGTACCTTGAGATGATGTGAAGTAGTGTACATTTTGCCACACTGAGGAAAGTCACACTTGAACACCTTCTCTGTCATGACAATGGCTCGCTCACTGTACTGTTGCCTTGCCAAGGCCAGGTCTGCTTCCTCCTTAGAGACAAACTTCTTAACAGTACCATTTGTGTCCTAGAATCAGATTTACAATAGTTAAGACTTTTTAGATAAGGCATTAACCACCCTATGCAGACAGAGCCTGTAGGAAATATTGGGTGCGGCGCAAATGAGCGGAGGGTGCGGAGCTAACGGTCATTTTTGAATTTAAAATTGGGATATTTCTGAAACTAAGCCGTTTTGGGACTTCAAATATACCAAGATATGTGTATTTGACACCAAATATCAATAAAATTGTGAAAATAGTAGTGCAATTCATTTTATAGCGACGCAGTATGCCTTAAACATTTCCCAGACCTATATATTTTGAGACTATCCTTTTAATACTGCGTCCCCAGCATTCATAAAAAATGGTGTTCAAGATACACTACCTATGCAAATTATTTTTGCATCTTGGAAGCCAGGCAGTATCTGTGTGATTTTATAAAAATTCGGAAATGTTCTTCAGATATGAGCCCCCTCTAAATATTGGGTGCGGAGTTACGTTTATGGAGCTGCTCCGCACCCAATATTTAGAGGGGGCTCATATCTGAAAAACATTTCCGAATTTTTATAAAATCACACAGATACTGCCTGGCTTCCAAGATGCAAAAATAATTTGTATAGATAGTGTACCTTGAACACCATTTTTTATGAATGCTGGGGACTCAGTATTAAAAGGATAATTTCAAAAGATATAGGTCTGGGAAATGTTTAAGGCACACTTCGTCGCTATAGAATGAATTGCGCTACTATTTTCACAATTGTATTGATATTTGGTGTCAAATACACATATCTTGGTATATTTGAAGTCCCAAAAGGGCTTAGTTTCAGAAATATCCCAAATTTAAATTCAAAAATGACCGTTAGCTCCGCACCCTCCGCTCATTTGCTCCGCACCCAATATTTCCCACAGGCTCTGTCTGCATAGGGTGTTAACATGTAAAATGTCATCACCTACAATTCGAAACAGGCCCCAAACACTGACCACTGAAGTCCAAACACCATCCGCCAAACACCATCCACAAAAAATGACCACAGCATAATGTAAAATGTTATCCTAGAATATGTGCTTGGTAAGGTCAAATTTTGATCATAGAAGACAATATGAATGTAATAATTGGGGTATTTAATATTGTTTAAGGTAATGAATCGGAAGGCATCAAGTATTTTGAGGTCACAATTTGATGCAATCTTTCAACTTGTGGTCAATATGATGCTGAATCAAGACATATCAGAAATACAAAAGGAAACTTAAAATATCATTATCCTTTAATGTTTGTGATCAATTATACATTGAATTCTCCACTTACTTGTGTTTTAAATTGTCCATCAGGTGTAATCTCCAAGGTAACAGTGTTCTGATCTACAGTGTTGTTTACCTGGGTAGGCTCTGGCAGCAGTTGATCAGGGGGAGTCTGAGAAATGTAGGCTGTTGTTCCATCTTCCAGTTGAACAGCCTGGAGCCCAGCTGTAATGCATTCAAATATTGGTAATCCAAGGCTCACTAATCAAAAAGGTTTGTATCATTTATTCTTTCAAAATTTCCCTGGAGTCATTTATACTGGTTTAAGTACAGTATGAAAACAAAAATATGTAAGTGCAAACCAAAAGGGAAATTGCTAAAAAATATGGAAAAAAGTAAATTTATCAGTAAGAATGGTTATGACAAATCCCAAATATCCCAAACAAAGACTTGACAATGTCATATCTAACATACAACATAGATATTCTGGAAAAATGTTGAGGACGTTTAAACCATGTCATCTTTATTCAGCAATATTTGTGTACCTTTAGGTGTACTGTGTATATAAACCGTGGTGCCATCCTCTAGCTGCACAGCTTGACCATCAATGAACTTGGTACCATCTGGCTCAGCTTCAGGTTCAGGGTCTACCTCTGCTGCTTTGATTATATATCATTACTTATTAATTATGGAACAAGGCAAATATGGATGGAATAAGCTTGTGTCACTATTTTTCTTTATCATATTAATTTTAAATGTTAGTCATTTTTTGAAGAGGTCATTGTCTAATGCTTTTGATGACCAGAAAATTAACTACATATCATATCATTCTCAAAGAGGCCCAAATGGTATGAATACATTTGATACGACTGCGTTCTTAGAACAAATAAATACCAGAAAGTGCCTCTTAAAGTTGTCTACCCTGGCATTCAGAGGTAATAGAAAGTCATTAGGTATGAAAATAGATAGCAAATCATGCAAAACTGGAGAGTATTGTTTGATTGGGGATGGGCACAGCAGATGTTTAAACTACATGTACATATATTGTGGCTTAGTCTAACAAAAGTAAATAACAATATGTCACCACTTTTTGGTGGCGACATAAAAAAGTCAAAACTTTGTTCAAATAAAAAAAAAGTAATGTGTGAATTATTAGCCATTGAGCAATAAAGCAATCTACCTGTTTCTGCAACCTTTTGTACCACTGCAGTTGAGCCATCTGCCAACTGTATGGTCTGTCCTTCAGCAACCTTCTCATCTCCTATAACAAAGAGAAGTATAATCAGTTTCTGAGACCTGGTATTTTTGCGGATAATTCTGAACATGTTTTCTGTTGATAATTTTTTTTAACATTTATATTAAGACAATGTTTTAAAATTACCAAAAAGGTGGTAAAATATAATAAATAAATAGTGAATATAATAGAACCAAATCTCAGCTTTGTTGCAACTATCTTTAATGCCGTCTTTAAATAAACAAAAATGCAGTAAAATATAACATTATATGTACTGTAAACAGTGTAAATGAAATAAACAGAAATGTCACCTTTGTTGTGTTGAATGTAGGCAGTGCTGCCATCTTCCAAAGTGACTGTATGAACAGATTGATTAGCCATGCTCTCCAGCTGCAATTGGTCCTACAAACAGATATTGTATCGCATATAGACGAGTAGCAGCCGGCAATATTTGAAGAGATTAAACCTCCGAAAGGTTACTGGCTAATCTTGGTACCGTTGGAAAGCTTAACTTCTGCACTAACATGCTTGATGACTAAAAACTTTCAGAACAGGTGGAAAAGTTCTTAAAAATGCTGGTTTCCATGGTAACTGCAATGTTGTCACTTTTAAGGCCCATGAATATACTTTTGAACATATCTAGATAACGCTTTGACCATATGTCTTGATAAAAGTATCACTGTAAAGATAATTTGACACAGTTTTTGAAAAAATGTATTTTTTGGATTATTGGACTCATTGTGAATTAAGAATTTTTCCACCTGTTCTGAATTTTTATAGTCTTCAAACATGTTAGTGCAGGTGTTTAGCTTTCCAACGGTACCAAGGTTAGCCGGTAACCTTTTGGAGGTTTAAACTTCTTTATTTGAAGACTTTATGAGATCTGGCTACTCATTTAATATGATTCATGTAGTCACAGCATTTCTGATAACCTGTTATAATGGTACACAGAGATCAGCTATCGTATTGCATATGATTCATGTAGTCACAGCATTTCTGATAACCTGTTATAATGGTACACAGAGATCAGCTATTGTATTGCATATGATTCATGTAGTCACAGCATTTCTGATAACCTGTTATAATGGTACACAGAGATCAGCTTTTGTATTGCATATGATTCATGTAGTCACAGCATTTCTGATTTAACATGACAAAATGTTAACACCTATAAGTTACAAAAACAGTTTCCTCTATTCACAACCTTTATTATTTGAAATGTTTGGGATCCTATCTGGATCCTTTATCCACTGTATTAAAACTGAACTAAGGCACTACAAAACAATTGAATAAATAAAAAAGAGAAACTAACCTGGGTGGAGTCTACTCCTGCAGGGTGCTCTCCCATAACATTGGCATCATTCTCTTGGTCAACAGAGGCATTCTGAAAATATTGACTTAAAATTTTTATCACCGAGTTCTCAATATTGTGAGTTAACACCGATGTAAATATTCTTGAGTCGCTAAAGTATGATTTATGATACCACAAATTACAAATTCAAATGTTCTCAGAGGAAAATACAAAACATTACATTAGTGTAATGCCAAAAAAGGAGAAATATTTAACTCACTAAATGAGACAATTTCCAATAAAATGAAGGGTTTCATTGTCTGGATTCTGAAAAACTTCATGGAAAAGGATGGTTTCTCCATCAGCCCTAAACAAAACAGGTCTGAGAATAAGTGTGCTTAATTAAACAAGCTATCGTTTTGGAAATAGTTTGTTGAGTGGGTCTCAATCTACATGTCATAATGAAACGGTCTTAAAATACCTGTTGAGCCTGTAGAAGGAGGCCATGTATTCCCATCATGTCTCCCCCAGATGTACCCTCTGCACTATCAAGGCCAGTAGCTGATAGGTCCTCCTCTGGGTCATGCTGATATGTCTCATTGGTGCCTTGGTCTTCAAGTTCACCTATCTCCTCATGGCTACTACTTTCTCCTTCCATGTTTTATCAGAACTTTTGTCTAGAAATAAATTACACTTTTAATATTTGTATGGTGAAACAAGACATGTCAATTCTTTAAAATTTTCATAAGTTGCAATATTGGCTTATAAACTAGAAAGTGTTGTAGCGGGGGGGGGGGGGGTTAGGGGGTTTGAGCTGGCCAAAAATTCTTTCAAAATCATGCAGTTTTTCACCATTCTGAGATTTATGCAATTTGTGGGCCAAAGTTGTCCAAAATGAGCCTCATAGAATTTTTTAAAAAGTGAAACCCCCATTTACATCCATGACGATTGACGAAGCTCTCTGAGGTCAAGTTGAACGAATGCAAAGGGTACCATGCATACGACTGATTCAGTTCTTTGATTCGGTTCTCTGCGCCTATTTTCTGCGTATCTCTAATGTGATCTTAAATGATACATGAGCAATGGTCATTGAAAAAAACACTATTATAGAATTTACCCAGGAGGCATTACGTTCCGAATTTTGGCCCTTTTGCTCCTCTATTCACATTTTTCCAAAGTCCAAAGTGTACTCATTTGACCGCTGCGCTGATTGGTCAATGAAAATCAATGACGTCAAAGCAGGGCACATTTCGCGCCAAAACTTCAATTACTATTAGATCGCCGAATGAGTTAAACAGATCTCATTATAAAATGATAACAAAACTAAGTGAAATATATTTTTCTGACTATTTTGTCTTAAGCTGTGTCTTAAATACATATCGTTTATGACTCCGGTAAGTCAAACTTTAGAAATAATTGTGATACGAGTGCTCATCTTTTAACAAAGTGAATCCAATAACGCATTTCCAAATATTATAAGTTATTCAATGATTCGAGTAAAATACAGAAAATATTCTTCCCGAGAAGGTCGTATTTCACGATGCGCTAGCAGAGTGAAATACAGACCTTCAAGGGAAGAATATTTTCTGTATTTTACGAGAAATCATTGAATAACGTTTTTATTCCATGATTACTCAGATAAAACTCCCCTAAATCAAGTCCATTTCCTTGGCTTGGAACCGGAGACAGAGATCAACATTCTCACCTCAAAGATATTTTACATCGAAATTCCTTCAAAGTCTTTTCGGCCTTGTTGTTTGCTTTTATTGTATTATAAGTTTGATTTCATTTATTTTTTCTTCAATTTCATCAGCTGGAAGTGCAGTGTAGCGAAACGTTTTTTCGACTTTCGTCTGCCATATTGGATTTTTACTAGTTCATGAAAACAATGTTCATGCTTCATATTGATTTTTTGTTATATTTTGTTATATTTACCGATGCGTGTTTTATCCTAAAATTATAAAGTGTGATGATCACCGTATAATTTCCTGATATTCAAATCAGATATTTGTAACAAAATGCCCAAATAATTTACGATTGGTCATGGTCAATTGATATATCTAAGTAACTAATATTCATCATACTGTAGTAGTTTGCATTTTAATTGCAATTCAAAGCTTTATTACAGGCCCGTAGTCAAGGGGGGGGGTGGAGGAGCGGCCGCCCCTGGCCAGAAATTCTTTCAAAATAATGCAATTTTTCAATTCATTCTGAGCACTTTTCGTATGATTTTTTCCCCCTTGGTAAAACTGCTCCCCCGGGTAAATCCTGACTACGGGCTTAAATTGCCGGAGTTTCTCTCTTGTAGGACCACAAATATCCTGAAAGTTCTCTAAAAAGATCGATATTTATAACGCCCATGGGCTTTTCAAGAGATAAATCTCTTCAAATAGACGATCGGCGTGGGTAAAACAAGCAACTCTGGTACATTGTCTCAAAGCGTACATGAACGGCCTTAACATTGTTCAACGAAATTAGTCATCACTCATGTAACCATTGTCAAATTCTTTGGCAGACATAAAAGTAACATTGTCATGTGGTATAATAGGTGGCTGAACGTAAGTGAAAATAACGCACCGTTGGCCCAGATTTGAGAGTCGAATACCTTTTCTTCAAGGTTAAGCCGTATCCCCTTCTTCACCCCATGAGAAAATATTACACAAACTAAGATTACCATGGAATGTTGACATTTTGACAGTCAAGAACTAAACATGGGGTTTTGTACAGTCGGCGTAATTTGAAAATGTATAGGAACATTTGACTCTTCACATAATATTTCTCTATTCATTTGATTCCCCAGAACAATATAAATAAGGGGAAATATAGACGTGAGTATAATTAATTAAACATTCAATGACATTTATCATAAATATTATTACTACTCAACATAATTTGACAATAAAATTAACCCGTTTCCGTCACGATTCACATTGACTTCTAATGTGTTAAGATTTTCCCGCGAAAATCTGCCCTACTCTGACGTCACAGATTTCAGATTTGCTAATTATAATATTCATGAGCTGACTTTGGGGAAAGGTGAATATAGAGAATTTCTTTCATTTACATATGTTTCACCCATACAATTTATTTGCAGCCGCAGTCCATTATCATTTTAATATTCAACAAATAAATATGACCATTACTGATTTTCGTATAGATCTAGTGTAAAGGTGTATGGACTGTGGTAGATTTAGGTAACTACCCAGGGGCGGATCTGGGAACCAACAAGGGGGGGGGCCCAAACTTATTGTCTGAGAAAAAAATGTCCGCGCTTGGGGGGAAAAATTTTTTAGGCCCCTAAAACCAAAATGTTGGCCCAAATTTTGAAATTTTGAGGCCCATTTTCTTCAAAATTTGGCCTAAAATGAAAAAATAAGGCCTTAGAAGGCCCATTTATGACCAAAAAGGCCCACTGTTTGGGGCCACAAGGCCTTTTTTTGCTCAAAAATTTTTTTGGGCCCAATTTTTTTTTCTGGGCCCACCCGAGGGGGGGGGCCCAGGCCCCTGGGCCCCCCCCCCATATCCGCCAGTGCTACCTACATGTACGATCATGGGTGAATATGTAAGGATGATCCTAAAAAATAGTTTGGTTCACAGCATTGTTGATGATGTCTGAACGATGATGGAAGAATGATCTAATCGAAAGGTACATAGGAGACTAGTGTTGTCCCAATGTGCCATAATCGTACATCAATGCATCTGCAATTTTCAATAGTAAACATCGATGCACATCGCGATGTGCATCGGGAAAAGTCTGATTAAAGACCATTATAAAATAATGCGATGTATCGATTAATAGCGACAACACTATGGGAGACACCTTTTATTTTGCGCATGCTTGGAAATGAACCGAATCAGCCATAACAGAACCGAACTGAATCAGTTCTAGCCTAGGCCCTAAGCTTACTAGCCTTAGGCTAGGCTATCCTATATCTTATTTTTGTAAAATTCTGGTGAGAATCAGGGGCGGATCCAGGAACCAACAAGGGGGGGGCCCAAATTTCAGGTCAGAGAAAAAACGTCCGCGCTTGCGCGGAAAAAAATTTTGGGCCCCTAAAATCCAAAAGTGGGCCCAAATTTTGAAATTTTGAGGCCCATTTTCTTCAAAATTTGGCCTGAAATTAACAAATAAGGCCTTAAAAGGCCCAGTAATGACCAAAAAGGCCCACTTTTTGGGGCCTGAAGGCCTTGTTTGGCCATAAAAAATTTTTTGGGCCCAATTTTTTTTTTCTGGGCCCACCCAAGGGGGGGGGGCCCGGGCCCCTGGGCCCCCCCCCCTAATCCGCCAGTGAGAATAAAAGTCACTTGACAAGTCTATTACGGTGTACATTCCATAAATATGCAGACGACGAAAAAAATTTCTTGACTTGAAAATGTTCCTCGATTGTGAGGTGTTCGCTTCCTGCCATATTTGAAAAATTACGAAGTTTATACCATAGAATCAGTATTTACCTCGACCCTGGCTGATCATATTTGCCTCCTCTCGAAACCTTGGCATATCAATATTTAATATAAAACACATTTAAAATTTCTGTCGAATGTTTATGCAGAGAAAATCAGAGGGAACACTGGGAAAACTTACCCAACATGCACAAAAACGACCGCCATGCACCAGCTAATGACGTCAGAATTGGTGCCCCTACTATGAATATTTATATTTTACAACGATACATTTGTGTGACACTTTGTTTATACAGCATACGGGCCCATTTAATGTGAATAATCTGTTCGATAACTTTCTGTTGGTTTATGATTTGGTAAAAAAAAGCTCAAGATTGTTAAATTATTGTTTTTTTCGGCCGAAATATGCAAGAACGATATACGTGACGAGATACATTTCCGTTGAGTCATTATAATTTTAAAAAAACCTAAATAGTGGTCAGCCAAGTCCTCGATAGTATAGTGGTGAGTATCCCCGCCTGTCACGCGGGAGACCGGGGTTCGATTCCCCGTCGGGGAGGCTTTCCTTTTTTATTTTTTTTATACGAAGCCAACAAGTTTAGTAGATTTTTTGTAACATTTTAACATTTACAAAGTTTTGTCACAAATTTTAAATTACGCAGCATTTTGAAACACGAAAGATGACACAATAGGCTTAATGATACAGGGTGGTCCAAAATATCATTCATTCACACTTTTTCACTCTTTTTTTGCGTAGCACTCTAAAGAATACATGTAATTTCAATTTTTTCTCTCCATAGACCTGTCCTACATAAACATGTTTTGTGTAAGTTTCATAATCATATACCATGATATCACCATAATGTGAGCACAGATCAATAGTCATCCTCAATCCAAGATCTTTTCACACATTGCCAATGTCCATGTCGATGTTGCCATAAGGAATTCTCCCAACTGATCTCTGTTTTTTGATATTCTTTAGCTCATGATGAATAGTTTGGTGATTGTGAATAGTGCAGGTCAGGTGTGTTCCATACCGTGAATACGGGAGATGAGTTTTCAGGGAAGTTATAGGTATTCAAGCGAAGCAACACAGGGACTCAGTCACGGCGAAGTTGCTGCATCTTTCCATGGAGCTTTCAAAGCCCGTGATCTTTCCAATGGATAACAATATCAATGACGTAACCCCTCGCCTCCGCGCCAATGCCAGAATGGATTTTCTTCTTATAACTTCTACGGTGTCCAACCCAAACGCTCTTACATGCGCGACATGCCTGCGAAGCGAAATAAAATGGCGGCTAATGAAGATCCCACTATGACCGTAAGCATTGTTTCATTTGTTTCTCTCACATATCATACGTAAGGGGGGGGGTGGAGCTTTAGCGATGACTGACATAATACGTCTCTTGCGTAACACCTTCGTTTGCGCAAATTCTCACCAGTTAATTTTTGAATAGCGCGTCGACGTAATATTTTAATCGAGGTAAACATATTCCATACATATTTCTTTATCTTGATGTGAAAAACCAAGCTATGATATTGGTTAATACGCCAGGAATCAACATAATATTATTCGAAGCGTTATTAGAAAATTTTGAATTTGCCATTTTTGTTTATCGATTTGGTCCAATTAGAGGTGTACGCGTACGTCATCTCGATACAGGTTTACATAAGCGTATGTCATCTTTGAACTCTTATCATACGCTATGGTGACATATTATGTACAATTCGATGAACTACCCCGATCAAAGATCTTATTTATTCAACTTCTGGCGGTAAACTGTTATTTCCTTGCTCAAAGCTCCGTAGTTTAGATCAAACGAATCTGAATCTGAAGTTGACTAATTGACCACAAATTACGAATTACGAATGTCAAGTTTATCATCTTTTAAATATTTATGTCCCATTGGATTCAGTAATAAGTTCATTTTGTGCTTAATTTTCGACCAATTTTCTTAATTTAAAGCTTAAGACCTGTCACTATTGTCAGCCAAGTCAGCACCTGGTTATCTGGATTTGCTAATCTCTAAGCCAAGTCCTTGGTAGCAATGTAGTGGCGAGTATCCCCGTCTGTTGCGCGAGAGACCACAGTGCTCGTTTAACAGATATAAGTGTACCCAGTGGTCAGTATCCGTGGGACAATTAACCCTGGGGATGCTTGTCCATCGGACAGTATATTAATTGTTGGCCTATCAAGGTTTTAAAAGTTCATCATCTTTTAAATATATATGTCCCCAACTATATGTCCCATCGGATTCAGTAATAAGTTCATTTTGTGCTTAATTTTCGACCAATTTTCTTAATTTATCAACATTTTAAAAGGCTAGAATGTATGTTATCCGTTTGTATAAATCATTGCTTGACATTATATATGGGTCTCTTTCGAAAGATTCACATGTTATCATCTCAATAATTTGAATGAAATATTTGTGTAAAATCTTTTTCAAAGCTGACAAGACTTGCCATTTCTGTCAGCCAAGTCCTCGGTAGTATAGTGGTGAGTATCCCCGTCTGTTGCGCGAGAGACCACAGTGCTGATGTAACAGATATAAGTGTACCCAGTGGTCAGTGTCCGTGGGACAATTAACCCTGGGGATGCTTGTCCATCGGACAGTATATTAATTGTTGGCCTATCAAGGTTTTAAAAGTTCATCATCTTTAAATATTTATGTCCCATTGGATTCAGTAATAAGTTCATTTTGTGCTTAATTTTCGACCAATTTTCTTAATTTATCAACATTTTAAAAGGCTAGAATGTATGTTATCCGTTTGTATAAATCATTGCTTGACATTATATATGGGTCTCTTTTGAAAGATTCACATGTTATCATCTCAATAATTTGAATGAAATATTTGTGTAAAATCTTTTTCAGAGCTGACAAGACTTGCTGTTTTGTCAGCCAAGTCCTCGGTAGTATAGTGGTGAGTATCCCCGCCTGTCACGCGGGAGACCGGGGTTCGATTCCCCGCCGGGGAGGCATATCGTTTTAAATGAGGTTGGCACAGATTAAACTATTGTCTTCTCAGGTCCTCTGCTCCCGATTTTCTTCTTCAATATTTGGTCAATGAACTTTCAGTTTTAAGTTTTCAAATCCCTATTTATGATATTTTCCCGATTTTTTAATTAAACGTCCCTACAAAGTTTTTATTTAAATGCTTTTTTCTCAAAATCGCTCATAAGTTCATTTCTTGCTTGTATCATCGCCTCTTGTGAAAAATTCACAGGTAATCACCTCAATAAAATAAAATATTTGTGTAAAATCTTTGTCAAAAATGACAAGCTTAAGACCTGTCACTATAGTCAGCCAAGGTTTTAAAAGTTCATCATCTTTTAAATATTTATGTCCTATTGGATTCAGTAATCAGTTCATTTTGTTGCTTAATTTTCGACCAATTTTCTTGTTTTATCAACATTTTATCCGTTTGTATAAATCATTGCTTGACTATATATATGGGTCTCTTTTGAAAGATTCACGTGTTAATTCACAGGTAATCACCTCAATAAAATAAAATATTTGTGTAAAATCTTTGTCAAAAATGACAAGCTTAAGACCTGTCACTATTGTCAGCCAAGTCAGCACCTGGTTATCTGGATTTGCTTATCTCTTAGCCAAGTCCTTGGTAGCATTATAGTGGCGAGTATCCCCGTCTGTTGCGCGAGAGACCACAGTGCTGGTGTAACAGATATAAGTGTACCCAGTGGTCAGTGTCCGTGGGACAATTAACCCTGGGGATGCTTGTCCATCGGACAGTATATTAATTGTTGGCCTATCAAGGTTTTAAAGGGTTCCGATTAGCATCCCGTATAAAAACAATATGGCGGCTCCAGGCGAATCAACTGGATCAGTCCATTTTTAAGAAATAAGGGGAGTTCTGTAAAATCCAGTTTATTGAAATTGTCTTTGAGATAAAGTAATCCGTTTATAATGATTTTGAAAACGTTATCCAAAGAGTGATTGCGATCAAAGAATACATGTACAACAGCCAATATAAATCCTTGTATTAGAAACCGGGTTGTCTTGCTTTGTTTCATTTGTAGGATATTTCATATGCCAAGCTGTATGCTATTACGTTATGGGGAAATTTAGATGCCAATTTTTCCTTATTATACACAAATAGAAGATCCTGAAACTTCACCCATAAATGCGGAATTGATTTGTCAAAATAAAAATCACCCTTTTATAAATGTGTGACGATCTATAATATACTTATGCTATATAACAGTTAGAGGTGTTGACACAACGACCTCGAACCTGTGAACCCTTGAGTATTATTCCGGGATCGGGCCTTTTATACTAAACGGTGAGCAACACCAGAAACGAGCGTTCGATTTGCTAAACGATATGCGTCACCCTTTAAAAGTTCATCATCTTTTAAATATTTTTAAAACTGGTCCTCCGTACTTAAATCTTAAAAGAACACAACCACCATATAAATTTGCATTGGCTCTTATGTGCCGCTATTCCCGAAGAACAAAGATAAGGTAAGGTAAGAATAAGTTTAAAATCCCATTCAAATGAAGATAGTATATTCTTATTTAATATGAATAACGCAATAAACTTAATTAAGTCACCTATTATAAACCAAGATTGATAACTTTTGTGCCTTTCTTGAATGTTACTCTCCACATAACCATCTATAGAACAATCACTTTCCACCTCCTATGAGCCGAACAACCTACCGTTCACATCCACTGTTAGCACCTGTAGTAGCATCATCACTACGTTAACCATGTCAACCAAAGATGGTTGTTTCAACTCTTATTTCTTTCTAAGCACCCAAAAACATTTTTCTACAAGATGAGTAACACAACTTCTCCTCATACCTCAAAAACCTTAAACCCCAAAACAACAAAATTTTAACCGTTCTGATCTCCTTTACACTAGCAGACGAATGGCTCATTTTTAAAAAACAATATTCTTAATAATTTTATCTGTGATTGCAAATGCTTGGTTAGCTGATAGACTACGTAAACTACTTTCGTTATTCCATTTTGAAAACTTATATCATAATCTTCTATCGTCTTTGGTTCTCCAGACTTCAACACAAAACCAGACATTTTCGTCTGATAGATATTTAGTTTTTCATTGTCTCTATACCGATTTGGGTCTTCTTCCTGCCATACTACACTGGCGTTAACTACATCTGTGTCATTTATACCCTGAAAACGTACAAACAACATCGTTACACAATGAAACTACCATACATTAAACAACAACAAAACAGTTCAATGCTTTTAATAATCTATTTTTATGCAATAAATATGCTCCTGAAGCAACCAATTCTGAATATTCATATGCTATATCTCTGAGTGCCGGGCACTAAATAATCACCACCGGGTGGGAATTCTATGTTTTTAATGCAAATGTGGTATCTTTTTTATTCACGTATTGACCAGTATACAGAAGACTGCCACTGTGGAAAAAACATTAATACTTTCGCTTGCAACCAT